ACGTCAAGGGTCATGATTCAGTGAGTCACATCCCCTGCCAGGCGCTGATTGCTACACAGAGAGACGAAACATGGGGTCGATTTCAATTCCCACTGAACACGCCCAAACCTTCTGACGTGGGCGTACCTTAGAAAATAATAGTCTCAAAAAAAATATCACTCAGGAGCGACTCGCTCCGAGCGAGGGCCCCCGCCGCTTCTCGATAATTTCAAAGGCAGCCGACCTTGAAATGAGGAAAGGTATGAAACCAAGCTCAACCTGAGCATCTGAATACTCCTCACGCCTAAGAACTCGTATTGCAGTTCCTTCACTGGGCGTCCGGTGGAGCTTTAAGCTCAGTAAGAGGAGCGGGATATTCAAAGTTTTATTTTGTGAGGTAACCTCGGATCACGTAGATCGGCAAAGCCTTCGATCCCAGCTAATCAGTCCTACACCTCTAGAGGGTAGTTAGAGAAGGACGAAATTCGTCCGACGAATATCAGCAATATATAACACTCACGGTCACAGTAAAGCCTAGACATTGAGAGGTATCGTCGGCGCACATTAAAAAAAGAAGATAAACTGACAGCATTGCTATCAGCCAGCGGCCATCTCTTGGAGAAAATAACCGTGGTCGATGATGACGCATGACGAATACCAGTAGGAAGAGGAGAATGATGAGGGTACTGCTTCAAGTACTCGCGAGGAGCAACAGAGCAGATGAGGATATGTATGGTGATAGAATATATCAGTTAGTGATGGCAAACAACGTATCAAATCGCTGAGGGCCTCAGCCTGAGGCTATCCTTGCCACTCAACTGACACTACGAGAAGGTTCAGCGTCCGACCAATGGGGGAGTTATGATGAATGTGGGGAGAAGGCTGAAGACAAACGCATGTTGCCGATGCTTCAATGAGAAAAATCCCCACGAAGTACTCCTCTAGCAAATCGTGGGCACAGCGATAGACTCTTTCATAATGAGCATCATTGCAGACATTGTCTGCCAGACAATAATGGACCATCACTGCTGAAGTGTGACAATTACAACTGGCCAAATTTACAACAGCACCAGCTGACTTGGTAAGAATGCTGACAACGTTGATAAGACCAACCGCCGAGACGCAGGAGACCCTTCAAAATGAGGGTAGCCACTGAATTTGCTACTCTGCTCACCCGCGAAGAATACTGTGTAACGGGGAAGAGGAAGTGGCAGTAAGAAAAGAGCAGCGGTGTCTATCACGATAGCCAACAAAAACCAAAATCAGCAATATAGGAACCCAGCGCCCAGAAGGTAGACCTTCCTGGTAGCATAACATAAACCCCTGTGACAGTCTAAGGGTAAGACAGCCATTTTGTAAGTTCAATGAAGTAAATAACCAGCAACACTCCTAACGCATTCCTAGCGGTGATACAGGGGTTTTACCACTATGGACTCACATACAATGTCAACAGTAATAGGAGTCAAGTTGGTCAACAGCCTAATAATAACAAACCATTCTTCCATCACATTTCAATCGCAGTACAACAGATAGTGTTGTTATTCGTCTTTATGATTCGTATTAGTGTAGTAGTAGACGTCTACTCAGCGAACTCTAGGATCTGGCAAGCCGATATCGCGGTACCACCGACCATGGTAATGCAACCCAGGATAACGAATGCTGCATACAGCCAATTCTCAGCAGCGAAGAATCTCTTGCTCTTCGAGATGGATGTGCAGAAATACGGTATTTAGGTAACCCAGGAGCAATGAAACACAGGATGGCTCCAGCAACAGCACCGAGGCAACCCATCAGAATGGATACATCAGGCAAGGCGATATCGATGAGATGAGAGATGACGACAGCGATAGTAATGACTACAACACCTCAGAAGTCAGCACGCTTTGGTTGGAAGGTGTTGATGAGGGCAACACAGACAGGATACACCATACACGGATAAGTGCCAGTGAATGAAATGCCCGTCCAAATGAAGCCAATGATGACAACAACATCACCCTGGGGAACCCAATCAGCCATGTTAAGCAAGACACTACTCCGTGCATCAGAACCGAAAACCAGAAGGAACGAGATGGCAATAATGAAGTAAACAGCAGTGCAAATAACGGCAGACCAGACTGCGACCGAGCGCAGCTTCTTAGGGCTCCTATTGCTCATCTCAATGTAGATCTCGGGCATGTTAG